TATATATATAAATTTATATTCAATTAAAAGTATTAAATAAAAAATAAAATAAAAATTATTAAATTAGATTCAAATGATATTTTAATATAAATAATAATTTTTAAAAGTTATCTCAACTCTAACGTGTTATGTTATCATTATTGTGAAAAGAAGCAAACTAGCCCAACCCTAGTGACCAAACATCTCGATACATCGTGTGATTGGAGCTTGCTGTGAAGACTGATGGGATCGCAACATATATGAGCCGCCTACATGCAATAACTTGCGACAATTTTGGCGATCTGGGAAGAGACTATGGGATCACAACACAGTATGAGGGAATCAACTTGACAAAAGCTCGCGGAGAAGCATCGAGCCCATCGCGGCGTGACCGAAGCCTTGCAATACGATTACGCCTAAGCCTCAGAATACGATCGCTGTTGAAGCTAGCTGCGAAGCACCTATGCATCTCTGCATGCGTGTCCGTATGCAATAATTTTTCGTGATAGACCCGAAACTCTCGGACGTGCTCTTTTTCTGTTTCCACTCCATCTTCGCAACACAGCTGTAATTAGAGCTAGCGGAGGAAGGCCAATCCTGCATTGTGACGTCCAGTGCCGCAGAATTGCGATCTAGCAAAGGAATCTGAAGTCATTGTGTTCTGCGGTATAACCACGTGCTGAACGAAGTAAACGATTGGAATTCCCAGAATTTTAGAGTTGCACTGCAGAAATTCACTTTTCAACCTTCTTATCATGTATAGACACAATTCAAACAATTAGAATGCCGAAAATCGCTATTCGACGAATCAAATCGAACCGAATCTCACGGTAAGGCGCGTTTCCATCTATCTAGGAAATCATCGATGTCATTTCAGCATCCAGGTGTTTCGTCTTTTGTGATCAAAATTTTATTTGGGTGTGATAGCAGCCCATAAAGTAAATGATTTGAAAAAAAAAAAAAAATTGGAGGAACAGGCAGGCCAACTTAAATTTGGGATAGAGAAATGATTTTTCACCAGAGAAGGAAGGTTTTCCTATGTAGACGATAAATTTTCTTTCATGGAAAACTGATTCGGGCTCTTGGAGGGGAAGATGAGGCTTATCGAGATTCAATTCAAGACCTCGCTAACCTCGCTGACGCCTCAATTTGTAAATCCTAACTAAGGTTTGACTGGAGATTTCTTGGCCAGATCGAAAGGGAAGGGGATCTAATGAGAAAAACACAAGGAGGAAAGAATCCCACATCACGAACCCCTTTCCAGTGCTCTGATTGTGGGTAAATTAGGGATTTCTGATGGAGGTGGTTTGGCCAAAACATTGAGAAGAGATTGTCCAAGAGATATGGAGGTGCACAGAGAAGAAAGAAAAAAAGCAGGGATGTGTTATGACTATGATTGAAGGAGAGAGTTTTATCCTCGATACATAGGGGGAACAACATAGGGAGAGGAAGTTGGGGTGGAGATGCTAGGGTCAGGAATTTAAAGATGCTAATCTTCAAAAGGGAAGAGGCATATGGGTGGGTGTATTGGTGGAGCGATAAACTCATGTTTGCAGGATTATATTTGGAGGAGAAAACTCTATACTAATTTAAGTGGAGGGAGACTAGATGTACGATCTGTTTGTGGGATGAATTTAAGGATTGTGTTGAAACATTTTCAAGCAATTTGGGAAGGAGATCTACACGAACAATTTTATTTCTTGACTCAGGAGGGACTGTCATGAAATATGGGGAGAGATTCAAGCTCTTGTCGGGGCAACTAAGGGAGATTTCTAAAGCAGGATTGAAGGGGAATCATGAAGGGCCTAAAGCTTGACATATGGGCACACTCCAACTATTAAGACCGCGGAAATTGAGGGAACTGATAGATTTAGCCCAGATGGTGGAGGACAACCAGATGGACAGGGTCACCAGGAGTAGCATAGATGGAGCGTTGTACTAAACTGTTACAACCATAGCGATACTACAAGCTCAAATAGTGTCAGTCCAGAGAGGATGCATGATACAGTAATAATGGGCCACGACTAAGAGAGAAACTCAAGTACCTTACAGAGATAGAGATTCAGGAGAAGCGAGCTAAGAAGTTATGTTTTTCAGTGTGATGAGAAGTTTACCCCATGACACCATTGCAAGAATAAAAAATTATAAGTTCTCATAATGCATGACAAGGAGGTGGAAGATGAAGAAATAAAGACAATTGTGTTGGAAGATGAACAATCACTTTTTCCCATCTTGAGGATAAGTTGTCTTTTAGAGGGAGTATTTTTACACCGGTGATTAGCCTAAGCGTCAATTTTGTTTTTTGTATGCCTAAGTGTATTTTAGTCTCTTATAATTATTATTGTTGGATATCAATAGACTTGTTATGTTTAAGGTTAGGTTCATGAATGAGATTATTGTTATGAGTCTTATGTTTAGAGCTTGGAAGAGATTTCCTACCTTTTGAATTGTAGGAATTGTGAGAGATTGCCTATCTCTCGGATTGTAGGTGCTTATCTTTGTATTCATATTGTTTTGAATTATTAAAGAAACGAAAATTGATTTGTCGTACTTTCTGTGGAATATCATGCCCTTTTCTACCTCAGATTATATCATGGTCATGCCAAATGAAAGTATTATCTATTAAGATGAGCCATTTGATTTCATCTTTGTTAATAAACCTCATCTTATGCTTGGCATTTCAGATTTGAGAACTAGATTTCTTGTTGAGGGTTGGGTGGATATTTTTACAAATTATTTTATTACATGAAATTAGCTCAAATTGATTGAGAGAGATGAACAAAATTTTCACTAGTTTGATTTATCATAGAGAAAATTTCAGCTCACTTTAATTTAATGCTAGTTGCTAGATTGTTTGCAGGTCTTATTCCAAAATTTTCAGTGGAGTTTTACTTCATTTTTAGTGATCTTCTGAAGAAATGAGCAAATAAAGAGTTCGATACCTAAGGAGTTTCTTAGGATGGTAGAATATATGCTTAATGGATATATTGGGGTGCTACTAAGAAATACTTGATAGGATGATTTAATACCTACTCGAGAACGAAATTTTGCTTGCCATTCACCAATGCATTGTTGAAAATCTAAAAGAATTGAGAATGAGCTCTGGAAGGAGTGGGGGACATTCAAGGTATTTGACTAGTTGAAAATTTTGCAAAATTGGTGGCTCTAATATTTTATTGTTTGTCTTGTGGGAGCCTTGTAGTTGCCAAAAAGATCTTTTGTCTTGGTTAACTACCGGAATGGAGACGTTTTCTTTTTTGTAAATTATCTAAAGAAAGGATATCGTGTCTATCATCATTAGTGAAAATGACAATATAATCGACAAATGGAAGGTAACATCTTGGGGTAACTTCAAGGAAATGATAAGATTTTACTTTACTAGAATCTTGAATTAGAGATACTTTCTTAGGGAAAACTTTAACATGTTTAGTGAATGGACTAGAGAAAAGGGTGTCATGTGAAAAAGTTCTCATGAGTGGAAGAAATTAATATGTTTCCCAATCGGACAATGAACTAACAATTCATAATGGCATTCGTGATTAGAAAATGGATTCATTTTGCTGACTTCACTTAGTGGGATAAAGATTTGTTGTTATTGTTTTTGTTGCACATTATGCCTATTGAACGTCGAGTCTTTTCAACTCATATTTTTCTCATTTCCTCCAAACCTTTTCTCTCAAAACTTTAGAATGCAAATTTTGATACAAAAATCGAAACATGTTAATGTTTAAATAATAAAAACCCTAAATTCTTACAAATTAAAGAAAGTAGATTTGGGAAAGAAAATTAACATTGTGGCCTGAGGATTGTTACCGGAAGAAGTGTAGATTTTGGTAGAGGAAAAAAAGTTTCCTATAAAAGAAGAGATTTAGGCCAGGAGGAGGTGGCAGTGGTGATTGCAAAGAAGGGCAGAGAGAAGGTTGTATCTGCCGGTGTTGTTGGCTGTAGAGAAGGCATGTCGGTTTTTTCTGGTCTAGTAGGAGAAGGTGTGAGTAGTTGGTCTGAGAGTTTGTTGAAGAGGCATTGAGGCGTGAGGTCTAAGTGAGGTTTAACATTTATAAAAATAAATAAAATATAGAACAATCTTATTTTGGAATTATGCATGCCTCATGTAGTGAGGTACGACAAGCATAAGCATACGAGGCATTTCCTTCACACATGTCCGATGTAGCGTAAGCCTTAGTGCATTTTTTAGGAAAAACACCGAGGCACATTTCATATTGTGCAATTTTAAACAATGCTTGTAAGTAGGTTTTTAAAATTGGTTCATAAACAAGTAGGTGTGGGTTTTGAAAGTTTGTGATTCAAAATTTGAAGCCTATAGATCACAATGCAAAGGATCCAACCCTTACTGACCTACAAGTTTTGCTTAAAGATTGATAGCCTAAATAAGTTGGGTTGTGAAGCCTTGAAAAATTTTATTATAATGCTTCTTACGGGATTTAGATGTTGTATGTAATTTGTGGATCTTATTTGGAAATGATTAAGTATTTGAATAATAATTTATTGATATGACAAATTTGGTGCTTTAGCGTCACTTTGCAATGCTGCGTTCCATTTCTCTTTTGTTGAAAAAAGGTCTCTCTCACAAAAATATAGATTACCCACTCCACAAGCTTGTTTGATGTTTCCCATGACGGAGGATTAGACATATGGGGCAAGTATCCAAAGTCAATCAAATCATGATTGATTTTTCAAAAGAGGGTGTTACTTATCAAGAAGTAGCTGTAAAATATGCATTATACGTTATTGATGACCAATAATAATGTTGTCTTTTGCTTTTTATTTTTATCTTATTTTATTTTTATTTTATCTTTGTTTCAAATAAAAAAAGACTCATATGACGATGTCCTATAAATAATGGAGAAATATTTATTTGATGAGTATTTAAAACAAAGCTACAAATATATCAAAATCATACACATGAAGATAATATTTATATTTTAGTATTCAAAATCCAACATGACTGATTGAACTAGAAATGGTAGCGAAAGTTGTTATAACTGATAGCTGTTGGAAATATCATTTGTCTAAGACAAGGAAGTAGAAAATATAAGTTGTTTGGAAGTGATACAATGGAGGGTAGAATATTAATAAGACATGTAGTTAATATGATAAATAATTATGCCTAAAATTATCAAAATAGATTTAAAATCGGGGGCTTGTTTGGGATCACTTTTTTTTTTCTTTTTATTTTTGCTTTTATTTTCAAGTATATTTGTTTGGTACTTTTTTTCTTTTGAGAAAGAGGATTCATGTAGCCGACCCCACGTAGCGGGATTAAGGCTTTGTTGTTGTTGTTGTTTAGTACTTTTTTCCATGTTATTATTTTTATTTAAAAAAAAATAATTTGTTTTTAAAAATACTCAAAACATCTAAAAGTTGTTTTGAGTGTTTTTGAAAACAAACATGTTATACGATACTAAATATGTTTTGATTTGGAAAAAAATATGTTTGGCTATTTCATTAAAGTAAGGTTATTTTTAAAAACACTCAAAATAACTTTTTATGAGCATGTTAATTTGTTTTTAGGAAAAAAAAAGAAAAATATGTAAAACATACTAAAAAACATGTTTTTAAAAATAAAAGAAAAAATTAAAAAAAACAAAATTGATCCCAAATATGCCCTTAATTTAGCATTCAGTAATGAAAGATGAGGATTCAAATAGCGAAATCCTCCAGCGGCTTCTGTAAGGCTAAGGATGACAATGAACATGGAACTGAAAAATATCTCTGAATTATTATATGCCTATTCGGTAGGTGAACTTGTTTAATGACACATATTCACGTAACCCAACGAAATAAACAACTGATTGAGCTTACAAAGGCCTGGTTTTCTTACCTATGAGTTTGATGTACAAATTGTGTTAGTCTTTTATCTGATGGTAAAAAAACGATCAATTCTGTATTCAAAGGTGCTTCTTTCTATTTGCTGACTTGACTTCTATTCGTAGTATAATTTTTTTTATAACCTAGTGATTTCTATTTCTGCTATCTTCTTTCTAGAGCCATTCTTCCATGTTCAAGTGCAAAAGCAAGAAGGTGAATCTAAAAATGGCCTTGATGAGCATGAACCATTATTAAGAAGCAACAAGAGTCAAGCCTCCAATGTCAGTGCTGAAAGAAATGGAGGGGAGAGGTCCGCATCAGAATCTGCTTCTGTTATCCAGAGGGATTTGCAATCAGAGGATGTTTCCCTTAACGTACATGTTTCTCCTGAAGCAAATCATGCAATTTTTATATCTATCAATCAGAATCAAAATTCCAATCAGGAATTGAAGAAAGAGGATAAGAAATTGGTATAGTTTGATTGAAAGAGATTGTTTTCCAGACACTTGAGTTTATTTTTTGAATTTTTTGGTGGTTATAAATCTGTTCATTTACCTTCTACAGATTTCAAAAGATAATTTCGATATCAATTCACATGTGGCAGGATTTCATGTCAGCAAGGTATGATATGCCCAATTATCAGAAGCTTTGTTTTATTTTTTTTCCCTTGATGTTTTTGTTAATTATCAGACATCTTAGATTCTTTGAGTTTGGAGTCTATTAAATTATTCCTTAATTACATTTGATTCTTAGTTTAATTTGTGTTACAGCTTGTTTCAATTACATATGAATCAAAATGAAATACTTATGGAATATTCTTCTGATGATAGTACAATCCGAGTAGCGATGTTTGCTAAAAAATATTAAGTAAATGGTATTATATATGGAGTTTGATATAAAATTGTATGCCGCTCATCATGGAAAACCAACAGTCAATTTATTTTTTAAAATGAAGTGTATGTTTAGAAGCATTGCATTCCAGAAACTATAGTTAAGATACTGTTCTCCCTCAAAGCATCTATCTGATGACTTACAAAGTTATCTTAAAATGAGTCTTTGAAACTTTATTATATATAGAGATACAATATAATTCTATCTATAGATAATATAAAGAAACTAAGGGCCTGTTTGCTCCCCCCCCCCTTTTTTTTTTATGCATTTTTTAAAAGGGTATTTGTTTTGTGTATTTTTTGCATATATATATTTATTTATTTTTAAAAATAAATTTTTAGAAGTACTCAACATTTTTTAAGTATTTTGAGTGTTTTAGAGAATGTTTATCAGCACCTAATTTGTTTTTATTTTAAATCGATCATAAGTAAAACATAATAAAAATGAAAAGAAAAACAAAAGACAAAAATATTCTTAAATGACCTGTAAACCAGGTCGAGTTTTTATGAATAATTCACATATCTAAATTCATCATTGCAGGAGTCGCAAGTGGTTTCAACCAATGCTGATCAAAAGGCTGACGGAGCTAAACATGAATGCATTGATTGTCAAAGTTCAATGTGCATCCAAGCTTCTACATTGGAAAGCTTTCAAACCAGGAAATCAAATCTTAAAGATGACACTAAGCTGTTTTGTGCTCCTGGTAGAAAGGTCATTCTTAATATATTTTCAATAGAGAACCTATTTTTTCTCAGAAATATGCATTTGATAGCTGATAGTCTCTAGGCATCTAATCCTAATACATGTGTTTTACCTTTTCATTTTAAGAATGTGATTATATTAGAGCTTAGCACTTTGTAATTTCTATATTTGATACTTGTTCATGTTTTATACTTGAGATAATTACTTAAAGATAATTTTTACAAGCAATGCAATATATGCTTATGAAATTATACAGATATATTTACATCTTGATTTGAGAATGATTTCTATTTGACCCAAATCAACCTTATTAAATTAGAATTAATAATTTTATATACAAGTATTTACTTTGATTTTATGCGGCTATTTTCCCACCATTTTTGTAAGATAAATATACTCAGGCTGGAATGTAAAGTTGAATGCAAGAACTTACATGGAAATTCAGGAATTCACTTGCAATCAAGCACATGATCTCCATGTTGCACCTATCACTATAAGAACTCAATGAATTTGATTGAATGATTTTAGATGGTGGAAATTGAACTTATGGATCCTCATATTTATAGGAGAAGAAATAATTCCTTGTGTGCCTTGCTCACTAAATTAAAACAATATAGAGCAGAAAATACGACTCAAAAGTGTATGGAAGATTCTGATTCATGAATTTGCCATTGAATTTATAAGTCATTGATGCATGCGATCTCTAAAATTCAAACATCAAATTTTGCATGCATTCTCATGACAAATATTAATGCAATCAATAAAATGTTGGATAATTTTAAATCTTACATGGCACAATTTTTCAACTCAAAACAACTCGTAAATGTGCAAGTAATTTGAGGCTGTGTGAGTGCATTATCTAGGTGCATTGAAAATTTTGCATCATAAAGGTGCACCTAATGATATGCAAATTCATTTTATTTGTGCACAAAACATTGTGTTAAGAGTATTATATGGATGCACAAAAAATTATGCAAGTGCATCATGTATGGTGCACCAAGAATGGTGTAATGTAAGTGCATCAAATATCGTGTAAATATATCATTAGTAAATTCAGTTTTATATGCTTCGAATAATATGCTAGATACTCAAATTTGAATACAGAATGCTATTCATTCTGAAAATAACTACAACAACAACAACAACAACAACAAAGCTTTAATCCCACCACATGGGGTCGGCTACATGAATTCTTTTTCTCCATTTCGTCCTATTTACTGTCATATTTTCATTTATTTATAATAAATTAAGATCCTGTTTTATTCAATAAGCCCAAGTCTTCCTAGGTTTACCTCTGCCTTTCTTAATATAAGTCGAGTCTAAAACATCTACTCTCCTAATCGGATCATCAAAGGTCGACGTTTAATGTGACCAAACCATCGAAGACGACTTTCTGTAATTTTTTCCGTCACAGGAGCTACACCAACCCTATCACAGCTATCAAGGAGCTACACCAACCCTATCACGGATATAATCATTTCGCATTTTGTCTCTAAGTGTAAAGCCACTCATCCACCTCATCATTCTCATCTCGGCAACACTTAACTTAGTGTTATGCTTCTCTTTTAAAGGCCAACATTCGACACCTTAGAGCGTTGCAGGTCTCACCACCATCTTATAAAATTTTCCTTTCAATCTAAGCGGTGCTTTTCTATCACACATAAGGCCCGAAGCATTCCTCCACTTCAACCAATCAACTGGAATTCTACTATTAACATCCTCATCTATAGCACCATCGCTTTGAAAAATATACCCAAGATATCTAATTCGTTCACACCTTTTAATAATTTGATCACCCAAAGTTACACTTCTATCACCCAAAGTACTACTAAAATTACATTCCATGTATTCAGTTTTAGACTAAAATTACATTCTATGTATTCAGTTTTAGTTCTACTTAAACGAAGGCCTTTAGACTCCAATGTAGACCTCCATAATTCAAGTTTTTCCTAGGCTTTTTCTCTCCTCTTATCCACGAGAAGGATATCATCAGCAAAAAACATACACCAAGGTACATTCTCCTGTAAATGTCCAGTAAGACCATCCATAATTAAAGCAAAAAATATGGGCTTAAAGCTGATACCTGATATAATCCAACAGAAATAGGAAAATATTTGGCCAATCCTCCTTCACTTCGAACACAAGTAACAACTCTAGTATACATATCTTTAATGACTTGAATGTAAGTCAATGAATACCTTTCTTCTCAAGAACTCTCCAAAAAATATCTCTTGAAGCTTTATTGTAAGCTTTTTCTAAATCAATAAAAATCAAATGTAGATTCTCCTTATTGTCTTTGAACTTCTCCATCAAACCTCTCAATAAATGTATAACTTTTATAGTAGACCCGCCGACATAAGTTCAAACTGATTATGAGCAATCTTTGTAATACGTCTTAACCTATACGTCTTAACCTATGTTTAACCTATGTTTAATTACACTCTCCCATAATTTTAAAGTATGACACATCAACTTAATTCCTCTATAATTTGCAGATTCTTGTGCATCCCCTTTATTATTAAAAGTTGGGACCAAAATACTCTTCCTCCTCAGGCATCTTTTTAGTATTTAAAATAATTTTAAAGAGTTTAGTAAGCCAAGAAACTCCCAAATCTCCTAAATATTTCCACACTTCAATTGGGATATTATCAGGTCCTATAGACTTTCCATCCTTGGTTTTCTTTAAAGCATCATCAACTTCTTTTTTATTAATGCGACGATAAAAATGAAACATTTTATTATTATTAACGATATTAAGATCACTGAGGTCGATCGTATTTTCAGAAACTTCATTAAAAATTTTATAAAAATAACTCACCCACCTATGTTGAATATCTTTTTCTAAGAAAAACACTTTTTGATTTTCATCTTTAATAGACTTTACTTGAGTTAAATCTTTACTTTTATTTTCTTTTTTCTTGGCTTGTTTATACATATATTTTTCACTATCATTAGTATCTAATCTATTATAATGATCATTAAAAGCAGAATTTTTAGCATCACAGATTGTTTTTTTAGACTCCTTGCTGACAGTTTAATATTTTTCCCAGTTCTCTAAGCTTTTATATTTAAACCAATTTTTATAACATAAATTCTTATGTTTTATCTTTTCTTGCACATTATTATTCTATCACAAGCTATTTTTATTTATAAAAACTTTTTTTTTGATTCTCCAAGTACATCTTTTACTATTTGTTTAATAATGTTTATTTCTTTATCCCACATAGCATTTGCTTCTTCATGAACATCTCAAACTTAAAAATTTTGAATTTTACTAATTGTACGAAGATGATTAATATTCTTTATTTTGCCACTCTTCATCTCAAAATCTAGAACTAATAAACGAAGTCGGGTACTTAAATTCTCACTTGGAATGACCTTACAATCTTTACAATCTCGACGATCTCTTCTTCTCATAAGAAAATAATCAATTTGTTTTATTAAATTCATTATTATAGGAAATATAAAACTTTTAGAATATTCTAAATAGAATCTAATAGAATTAGAATAATAAGATAAATAACAAAATCATACGCTAAAGCAAAATCTAAAATCTACCTTCTTCATTAGTCACTCCAAAACCATAGCCACCATGAATAGCCACCATGAAATAGCCACCATGAAAATTTCTGAAATCTTCTACCACTCTACCGACATGTTCATTTAAATCTCCCCCAATAAAAATTCTTTCTTCAAGAGATATCATTTGTATTAAGTCTTCTAAGCCATTTCAGAATTTATCTTTGGACCCTATATCTAAACCTACTTGAGGAGCGTAAGCACTTATAATACACTTATAATATTAAAAACCTATATCTAAACCTACTTGAGGAGCGTAAGCACTTATAATATTAAAAATCTGAGTATCAATGATAATCTTAATTAATTTTTACAACATTCCAACTTTATTGTTTTTTACAACATAATCTTTCAAACTCTTATCTATAATTACACCTACACCGTTTCTAACACGACTCTTACCAAAATATCAAAGTTTAAAACCTAAGTTATCAATCTCCTTAGCCTTTTCTCTAACCCATTTAGTCTTGAATAGATAAGATATTAATATTTATATGAATCATAATATCAACTAATTTTATTAATTTATCATTGAGAGTAACTATATTCCAAGATCCTATCATAATATTAGTTTCATTGACTAACTTTTTTACTCGCATCTTTTCGTAATGTTGGAACCCTTGCTTATTTGACACTACACCCGGACACCGGTGTAACGACCCTGCACACTTTTCACTGTATTTAGGCTATACGACGCGTCGTTTCTAGGGGACGCTCTAACACAAATCAGAAGGATTCATGTCATGATTTTTTTTGATAAGTTTTATGCTGGCTGTCGACTACGTAACGCAACCCTCCACTTTTTACATCCGGGCTCGGGACCGAAAATGCAGTGTTAAATATGATTATCTTTATATGAAAAATAACTAAATAAATTAAAAATTATTTTTATCTGTGAAGCATGCAATATTTTAAATAAATATGATTATTAAAAAAAGTATGCAAGCCTTCTTAAGTTCAAATTTATGAACGCATATTTCATAATATTCTCATTTGGGTCAGGGTAGGGGTCATAAGTCTCAAATATTGAATTTGCTTCTTTAAGTTCTAAAAATTAAAGTTAGCAACACTCATCTCCTGGTGACAAGTGTGCATCCAATACATGTAAAATAATAGTGACAAAAAGAAGCTTTTAAATTCTCTCTACCACCATAATCTAATTATTAGGCTGGGATTCTAGCGTTGAATGTAAAATCCATAGGCTTATTTATTTTCCATTTACATATGGGCTTTAAGGTCCTTTTCGAGTAAAATTTATTTAAAAATTATTATTGCATTTGTAAAGTAGAATAATGAGCTTAACTTATAGGTCCAATCCACTACATATGGTTATGGAGTTTGGCAAGGCTTGAATGTCAAAAAATATTACAACAAATGCAAATCATGTGCAAGTCATTGGCCTGATCTTTTACAGACAAGCTTGTAGAGTCGACAATGTTCTAACAACAACAATAAGCCTTTACCCCTCTAAGTGGGGTTGGCTTAAATGAAACCCTTTTCTCCATTGTGACCTATTCTATGTCATATTTTTATTTAATTCTAATAAATTAAGATCATTTCTTATATAACATGCTCAATTTTTTTATGTCTACTACTAATTTTCTTAACGTAATTCAAATCTAATACATCTACTCTCCTATCCGGATCATCAGCTGGTTTATGTTTAATGTGACCAATCATCTAACTCGACTCTCTCTAATCTTGTCTGCCATTGGAGCTACACCAACCCTTTCACGGATACATTCGTTTCGCATTTTGTCTCTAAGTGTCAAGCCACTCATCCACAAGCTTTTTCATCTCAGTAACACTTAACTTAGTTTTATGCTTCTCTTTTATTGGCCAATATTTTGCGTCAAGCATTGAAGGTATCACAACCATCTTAAAAATTTTTACGTATTCCTCCATTTCAACCATTCAACTTTAATTCTTCTCATAACATCCTCATCTATGTCAACATCACTTTGAACAATAGACTCGAGACATCTAAAACATTCACTCTTTTTAATGATTTAATCATCCATTGTTACAACTTTTCGGCTAGAATTACTATTACTTAACTTACATACCATATATTCTATTTTAGATCTACTTAAATGACTGTCTTTAAATTTTAATTTAATTCTCCATAATTCAAGTTTATCCCGAACTCTTTCTCCAGCGTTACCCACAAGAAGGATATCATTAGCAAAAAAGCATAAACCTAGATACATCCTCCCGTAAATGTACTGTAAGTGCATCCATAACTAAAGCAAAAAGATGTGGGCTTAAAGCCAATCCTAATGTACTCTAATTGAAATACGTAAATGCTTGGTCAATCCTTTTTCTATTCAAACACATGTAAAAACTCTATTATGCATATCTTTAATGACTTGAATATAAGTCATATTAAGTCATATATAAGTCATATCAATATCTTTCTTTTCTAGAACTCTCCAAAGAACTTCTCTTGGAACCTTATTGTAAGTTTATCCTAAATTAATAAAAAACATATTTAGGTCTTATTTACTCTCTGTACGTCTCCATCAAACCTCTCAATAAATGTATAACTTTCATGGTAGACTTGCCTGACATAAATCAAAACTGATTATGAGAATGCATCACGTCTTAACCCTATGTTCAACTACTCTCTCTCATAATTTTAATGTATGACAGTTTAACTTAATTCCTCTATAAACTGCACACTCTTGTGCATCCACTTTAATCTTAAAAATGGGACCAAAATAATCTTCCTCCACTCAGTCATCTTTTTTATTTTTTAAAATAATATTAAAAATTTAGTAAGCCAAATAACTCCCAAATCTCCTAAATATTTTCACACTTCTATTGGGATATTATCAGGTCCTACTGGTTTTCCACCATTGATTTTCTTTAAAGCCTCATCAACTTCTTTTTTTCTAATGCAATAATAATTTTTTTTATAATTATTAATAATATTAAAGTTACTAAGATCGATTATATTTTCAAAACTTTAATGAAAATTTTATCAAAATATCTCACCCACATATGTTGAATATTTTCCTCTAAGAAAATAACTTTTTGATTTTAATCTTCAAT